TCTATTTTACTTTTTTTTTTTTTTTTTTTTTTTTTTTTATTTATATATAAATGATATTACTTGTGGGATGACTTAATACATTTAAGAATAAAATTCTTGAGAATTGATACTCGAGAGTACTTCACGTAAGTGGATACTGCATTGAGAATATATGTCCGACAATAAAGTTAATATCGGATAATACAAATTATTGTATTAGGTCTATTTTCAACGCGGTATCGAGAAGTACTCTCGATACGTTTAATCTCAAATGTACTTGTACATTTTCGATGTTTCGCGGACACGTGGATTTATTTGATAGTTAATATCTTATCTGAAAATTGGATATCTACTTTATTGGATTTATAATATATCACGATATAAATGATAAATTTTGAAACATATTCAGAAAAATCAGAAAACTTTGACACCTGCTCGATAACAATGAAAGATTAAATATACAATAAGTGATGTAAGTCAATAAAATTTATTTACAATTTACATATTTCTTGCATATCATCATGATTCAGCGAGATTTATACAAAAGAGAACAAAAAGTTTTTACTAAACTATAAAAAATACATAAGGAAACTGATTGCTTAGCTCACAATATTGTTACGAGTAAGGTATTGTAAGGTGTTGAAATTGTAAATTGTTTACCATAAGTTTTAATTAGCTGCATAAAAAGAGTGTAAAATAAGTGTCATTGATATTAGTTTCCACGTATCCGCGCAGGTTAGTTTGTTCATGCCATCATTCTGCCTGTGTAATTATTAGCTGCCTGCGAAGAATATTTTTTAACAGTTTGTAATTCAGAATAAGATATCTAAGCCTTGCATTTAATATCTCACGTGATTTTGATAATTAGTAAAAATATCACAATCTTATGACGGTAAACGTGGTAATTAAAAATTAAAATATTTCTCGGAGAGTTGTTTGCATCGATCAAAACAATTTTTTTTCATTTATCTATTTAAATAATAACAGTAATGATACTTAAAAACTTAATTTCATGTAATTAAATTCAATTGAATCGTCTATTAGCTCTTGATTAAATTGTAAATCATTTTTTTGCTAGAAAAAAAGCAGTTAATTTCTTATTTCTTTTCTTTTCTTTTTCTTTTTTTTTTCTTTTTTTTTTTGTTGCAAAGAATATCAAATGTGAAGAATCGAATACTTGCTATTCCCATTCCGTGGTATTTTTATATTTTCGAATTATAAAAAATTATACGAATTTATCTGCAATGGCAGAAAAATACAATATCAAGCATGAACTATTTTGGACAAAGTTTGGTTTAATTATATTAATATTGCGATAATCGGATATTTTTTTTATTTATGATAAAACTTAAAATATTTTATTCCCCAATGAAAATCATTTCATTTCCTTTAAACTTTAATTTTCCATCGATTTACAAATTAGAATTTTATTATCAGAAAAGCACAAAATTAAATCATATCAATTGTATGAAATTTCGAATATCGATGTAAGGGTTGATTTTTCGAATATCATCAACGGGTTAAGGATTCATGCTATACGATACAAATATAACCGCAGCTGGCTTGTTGCATGCAAATCTAAATCCCCTAACTTTACATACAAAAAGCAATTGGAAATTTTGCCATTTGATGCATATGTTATTTCCATTTGCTTTCGTCTATCGACTTCGTCCCAAAAACACGTGTCGAACGATTTTGAAACACAAAAAACTGGTCCCTCGCTTTTGACCTTTGCGTTTGTTTCATTAGCATCATAGCAACTCTCTGGTATTCCTTGATCTTTGTATCGAGCATAATCGTGTTTTTGCACGTGGTGTTTAATTTTGTTCGTGGACAGTAATTAATTTTTTGACCACTCTGCACTGAGGACGAGTACTGGTCCAGAATTTTGCGAAGGGTATCGTCGTCACGGGACGAGACGATTATTCAAAAATTATTTATTTTTCACGCTCGTAAATATATGATGTGTAAATCTTTCACGTTATATAAAATGTTCTAAAAAAAAGAAAAAAATTATTCAAAATTCAATATGACACATAAAAGCCATACCATATCGAATAAAAAAAATTTTAGTAAACATAGGTCGAAAATACGATCTTTTCCGAGAAATCATTTTTTGTTTTATATTAGCATCATCATTATATTATTAGCTTCCACTGTCGTAACGAACGTTTTTCTTAATATTAAATGACTTTCTGAATGTCTGAATGTTCTCGTTCCATTTTCATATTATATCTCTTAGCAAAAGTGTATTCTTACCAATTCTTTAATAAACGATTTAAAGAAATCGAATCTAGCCTCATGTCTAATCTATGGAAATGGAAAGAGAACGTCTTTAAATATCGAAATAAGTCGATCATCATAATGTTAATGCAATCAAAAATAATTATATCTTGGAAAAATGATTGATCCTATGTGCCATGTGAATTTTGGAAAAAAATATGAATTAATTTTTTTTTTTTTTTTTTTTTCTCGAATATTCTATCTGTATATCAGATTCTTTCTAACGATCTTGGCAATCAACATTTGAATTGATTTTCGTTGAAAATGTATACTTTCTGTGCCGGTGCTCTTGAAAATAAAAAATAAAAATAAAAAAAAAAAATGATGAACTCAAAGATGAAATAACAATCTCTTATCTTTGGCATGTCTACTTTCGTAGAAATCCCTCCAGTGGTTCGGGTCTCAGCGAAACAGGATCTCTGGATCGAGCGAAAGCCGCGCTGGAGCGCAGGAAAAAGGCCGAGGATGGAACCGGAAATTCGATTTTGTGCAGAGTTGAAGTGACCAGGCCAAATCCGGATTCCCTGATCGATGAGCTGATCAAAGCAACGAATTTGGAGCAAACTGATCTCGAGAGTTCTGAGAGTATGTTATTCTTATTCAATTATATTTATTTAATTTATATTTTGCTATTTAATAATTTTTCTTTTTCTCCAATTTAGAGTTTTATTTCATCCAGACTCCTTTTTTTTTTCTTTCTTTTTATTTTTACCTTTTCATTCTCATTAAAATGAAAATAGATATATAAAAGGGGGAAAAATCTTCGCGAGGGAGTAATTTTTCGATCATCAAGATTATTTTTTAATATCTCTTTATGGTGAAAAAGATGAAAGAAATTGATGATTAAATTTTGTGTTGCTATAATTGATCAATTTCTTTCTTTTTTTCTTTCCTTTTAATTAAAAAACAATTACATAAAGAATATAAAGAGAACCGATTATCTTTTATCTTTTTTTTTTTTAATGCAATTATAAACATTGTATCTATTTGAATTGCGAAATATGCAATAATGAATATACAATAAAAATAGTTAATACGAGTTATCTGTCATCTTTCTTTTTTCTTTTTTTTTTTTAATTAACCTAATGTTTATTAATGTGACATAATTATATGAAGACACAATAATAAGTAGAAAAACTAAAAACCGGTTATTTTTCGTCTTTTTCTTCTTCTTCTTCTTCTTCTTTTTTTTCTTTTTTATATTAAATATATTCACTTGATGCGAAATATAAAGACTAATATAAGTAAGAATATAATAATAATCGAATTTATCTTAAATTTTTCTTCTTATCTTTTTTTTTTTCTTTCTTGTCTTTTTATCTTTTTTTACAATAATTTTTTACAAATTTTTACGATCAATTTAAATTTTCCGATTATCATTTATATTATTTACAGCGACTGGACTTCAACTGTTCATTGCGAAAGACGGGACGACTGCACTCGGCAGTCATGAGATCAAAAGTCAGATGCCCGCGGGTGTGTTCAAGCAGGTGGTAATGGAAGAGAATAATAGGTAACACGAAGCTATCGGGACAAGAAGACAGTACGCAAGACAAGTCAGCGCCACGTTCTCGTTGGCCCTGGTGCCAGAGCTCGTCTACGAGGCCTACGAGCCCCGGTAGTTACGAGATCAACGATGCTGGACGAGGGAATCGTCGAGAAGACGGTGAACACGGCGACGAAACACGAACGCCATCTTTCATCTCTCAAAAAAGG